GACACATGCAGATACTAAGAGGCTCCTTCAACTTAAGGCAGATAAGCACTGTAAGATCATTTCCATCTTGACTCAACCACCCACTATTACTAGAGTCCTCTCTCTCCTTCTAAAACCTATAGACTGGTGGTTGTTTTTGAGACTCCAGAGCAAGCAGCCATTTTCAAAGGATGTTTCCTTGCTCAAAATAGACCATCATGACACTGGTATGAGAATGCTTTGTTGTACTCTAGTTGGGTCATGATTTTGTTTGCAGGTGACCTTTCTTAAGCACTCAGGGTGTGTTGTCAGTAAATAAAATGCCTGTCAAATTAGTCACTGACCCTGCAATAAATTCTGAAAAGCTACAAAGGGAACCCAGTTAAGAAAGTCCATATCATCTTCCTCTACAATATGATAAAAATGGAAAGAACAGATGTACATGTGGCCAACAGGCACATGAAAAGATGCTCAGTATCACAATTATTAGAGAAATGCAAATCAAAACTACAATGAGGTACCACCTCACACCAGTCAGAGTGACCATCATCAAAAACCTACAAATAATAAATGCTAGAGGGAGTGTGGAGAAAAGGGAACCCTCCTACACTGTTGGTGGGAAGGTAAATTGTGCAGCCACTATGGAGAACAGTATGGAGTGTCCTAAAAAAAACTAAAAATGGAGTTACCGTATGATCTAGCAATCCCACTCCTGGGCATATACCCGGAAAAGACAAAAACTCTAATTCAAAAAGATGCACGCATCCCAATGTTCATAGCAGCACTATTTACAACAGCCAAGACATGGAAGCAACCTAAGTGTCCATCAGCAGATGAATGGATAAAGAAGATGTGGTATATATATACGATTGAATACTACTCAGCCATAAAAAAGAATTAAATAATGCCATTTCAGCAACATGGATAGATCTTGAGACTATCAAACTAAGTGAAGTAAGTCAGATAAAGGCAAATATATGCCATCACTTATATGTGGAATCTAAAAAAATAATACAAATGAACTTGTTTACAAAACAGAAATGCACTCACAGACATAGAAAACAAACATATGGTCACTAAAGGGGAAAGGGTGGGGGAGGGATAAAACAGAGTATGGGATTAACAGATACACAGTACTATATATAAAATAGATAAATAGAATGGAAGGAATAGTTACTATTCACCGAGCATGCACAATATATCATGGACTTCACACACATTTCTAACCTTCCGAGGAAATTGGGGATCAATGATGTTAAATGATTTGCTTAATGCTGCTTTGTAAAAAGTAGAGCTAGGATTTGAATACAGATCTTTCCTGCCTCAAACATAAGCTTTTCTTACCAGGGGTGTTTTTAAAAAAATGGCTGCAAAATCTTGACTCTTTTAACATTGAGCAGTTCGTCTACATGCCCTCCCTTTAAATCTGGGTGGGCTTGGACTGCTGCAACCAGTAGACTACAACGTAAGTGATGCTATGTGACTTTTGAAGCTGGGTCACAGAAGGCCATGAGCTTCTGCTTTATTTGCTGGAACATTTGGAACCCTGAGCCACCAGGTAAGAAGTCTTCTATTCAGATGCCACCATGCTAGGTAGAAGCCCAAAACACATGGAGTAGCCATATTTGTAAGCATCACAGCTATAGTTGACAGTTCTGGCTAAGCCCAAACTTTGAGACATCCCAGTCCAGGTGCTAGACATGCAACTGAAGCTCTAGATCATTCTAGTCCTCATCATTCAATTACCTCCAAAAGTTCGAATCTTCCCTGCTGAAGCTCAGACACCGTGAATCATGGGTAGATCATCCTCATCATGTCCTGTCCAAATTTCTTTTTTTTTTTTTTTTGCGGTACGCGGGCCTCTCACTGCTGTGGCCTCTCCCGTTGTGGAGCACAGGCTCCGGACGTGCAGGCTCAGCAGCCATGGCTCACGGGCCCAGCCACTCCATGGCATGTGGGATCTTCTGGACCGGGGCACGAACCCGTGTCCCCTGCATCGGCAGGTGGACTCGCAACCACTGCGCCACCAGGGAAGCCCCTGTCCAAATTTCTGACCACAGAATCCTGAGCATAATAAAATCTTTGTTGTTTTATACCACTGAATTTGGGGTGATTTACTGTTCAGCAGTATTTTGCAGAGTCGGGACGGATCTTTGGTGTCTACTAAGCTACCTTCTACCTAATAACCAGAATCTCACCTACTTCTGGTTGAGAGGTTACACACTGGTGGTTAATGGCTAAATCTGGCATTCAAGAGGGTTTTGTTTGGCTCTCAGAATTGTGAGTTTTAACAATGATTAAATTTTACATGAAACCTGAATTTCCAGCTTCTCTGGGAAAATCAGAAGATCTGGAGACACTGGGCTGGCATCGTGGTACGAAAACAGTCCTGTGTTTCTGCGTAGCAGCTACCTCCTTCATGTGGGCCTTTGCTCCAAGTGTTAGCGTCCTCAGCAGTCATGATTGCATTACTGGCCTTCCTGCCTGCCTGCTTACTGTGAGCATTTGTATTTGTAGACTTGAGAGACAGATGATCTTACAGCCCGTTTTTGAGTGTTGAAAAGTGCTTAAGAATTATTGTTTCTTCCACTTTTATCTTCTAAAATTCAAGTTCAGTTTGCATTATCATAATCTATTTTGCATGTTTAGTAATTATAGTGATGACTGGAATACCTTTTAATGCTATAAAATAGTACAGTTTAAAATAAACATTCAATCCCAAATCTTATATTTAATCATCCATCTGTCGTGATAAAGACGCTTCCATCTTTATGGAAGTCAGAAGTCAGCTAACTGTTTAATTAGGGGAAAAAACCCTCTATCTTGCCCTCAGCTTTGAAAAAGAAGGCTATCCTTCAATTGTGGACTTAATGTCGACTCTATTTAGGACTTATGAATGGATTTATTTTGGGGGAAGACCCTTCTTTACCAGAGCCCTTTCTGGAAGAGAATTTGGATTTTGGCATGGATCCATCCCTCTGTGGTTCCTGAGTTGAAACCAGCTCTTTTGTGTAGCCATGATAAGTCATTTGATTTAGGAGAGGCATCAGGGAAAGTAGCAGCTATTTACTTTGCTAGGGTTAGTAGAATACTAATGTGACTGCTTGCTAAGAGTCTGAAGGGGGAAGAGGAAGAGAAAAAGAATTTTCATATTTACTGAACACTTAACTCAGACCAGAGCAGCCTAACCCATATATTTTTTCACTGGCAATCTGACAGAAGGAAATGTCTTAAATTTTTTTTTCAGTTAAACTTCAAGATTAAAGAACAGGGGAAGTGATTACCAAGGGAAGTTGTGGAAACTCTTTGTCTAGAGATGTTTAATAAAAAACAAAGCTTTCTAGACAGGAGAAATCATTCCAACTTTGGAGTGGGGCAGAGGCAGGCAATAAGGAAGGCCAAGGAAAACCTGATGACCTTTGGAAAACTCCATTAAAGCTTTAATAGCTGTTGTATATTTTGATCAGTGGCCACAGACCCACAGCAGAAGGCTTTAACAAATTTGACTTGAAATTGGGTGTGTATTGGATGGTCATTACTTATTACAGCTAATACGTGTTTACTGTTAGCATTGTGTTCTTATGAGGCTAATACAATTTTGACACCCACCCATGGCTTCAGATTATTTCTTTGGCCCTGTTCAGCATGATGTAAATCGCAAAGGGGACTGTCTACCTCATAGGCAAAGTGACACATAACAAGGCAATGGTTTTGGCTTCTTTTACATTTAGGTTTCACATCTTAGGAGAACTGTTGAAGTCAGTACATGGATACTTGCTGAGAGGGGTTCCAACAAGGAGCCATGGGTGCTGATTATGATAGTGATTTTGGTCATTAGAAATCAGCATTGAATGACTAACTCCAGAAAGTCATGGAGGGACACACAATGACACAGACTCTGTCCAGGAAACAAGCATTCCGTTTTCTAGTATTCCAAAAAATGAAACAGTAATACAACTTTCTTCCCATTTAGTGGCTATGTGAATCTTCTTCCTTCCTTTCAAAGAAATGTTAATCCAGTCCTTTACATCTGATGACTAATGCCTGTCCCACTGTGGTGGATGCTGTGATGTACTTGCTTTCTTCAGGAATGAAAAGCTTCATTCCCCAGTCTGTGGGACCATTACTAGCAGAAACTCCCCAGCTGCCAGCCCCCTCCTGGTTTGCCTTGGTAGAAGAAAACCACACCCAAAGTTACCATCCTTCCAGGGGAAATACATATCACATCCAATCACTGATCAAAGTCAGGATATACAAAATTCCCCAAAACCACCCTCATTCCTGACACTAATTCCAGAGTTTGGGCATCTCTAGGACTACTCTCAAGTTTAATAATTCACTAGAAAGACTCACAGAACTCACTGAAATCTGTTATGATCATGGTTACAGTTTATTACAATGAAAGGATACAGATTGAAATCATCCATGGTAGAGACTCACAGGATAGAGTCCAGGAAAGTTCCACTCATGGAGCTTCCAGTCATCCTCTCCCAGGGGAATTGCAGACAGCACTAAATTCCCTAGCAACAATATGTGACAAAATCCATGGAGTATTGCCCGCCAGGTAAGCGCACCTGAGCCTTAGTGTCCAGAGTTTTTATTTGGGGTTCAATCACATGGACATGGTTGACTGCCCACATGGCTGACATCAGTCTCCAACTTCACTAGAGATCAAACTGATACCTGTGACCCAATAAACCTACCATAAATCACATTGTGAAACTATCTACTGTGGCCCAAGGCTCTTAGGTAAATAAAAACACTTTTACCAGGCAGGACATTCCAAGGGCTTAGTTATGACCTTCCAGGAGCTTGGGACAAAGGCAAGACTTCTCTTTGGACCAGGTTACTTTTTTTACTACACAGGACATAAAGACTCCCTCCCTCAACCTGGGACAATTTTGAAGGGTCATACTAGTTTCAGAGCTCACTGGAGGGTGAGCTGAATCCTCCTTTGAGGTTGCAGTGTGGCACGACTTGTGCCTCTACCCAATCCTGTTTTCCTCCCTTTACTTCCACAGGTGTTAATTCCAAGCTCGCTTCCTAGTAATTCACCAGCATGCTATTCTCCAGCTCAGGATCCACTTCCAAGGGAACCCAACTTGCAACCGTTGGTGCCACAAGTGGTCAAGAAAGCAGATGCTGGAGTGAGATTTTAGAGCTGGATCACTTGCTGCCCAGTTGCCAATAAAGAGTCCATCACCAGCAGAAGGTAAACAGTTAACTCCTGGCACAAATAACAACATAGCAGTGCCACAGTTAAAAGTTTCACTGGCAGTGAATTAGAATTGCATGCTGGTGGAAAAGAATGCAGGTGCTGAGAAATACTGGGGCAGTATTAACTATAAGAAGATGGAACTGTGTGTCTATTGTTATCTGATGTTCTGGAAAAAGATAATAAGAAGCAAATGATTAATCAGCAATTGAAAGCTAAGTGTGAAACCTAGAGGGCCTTCATGGTAGCATATAAATAGGCTTTCATCTCTTTCTGGGGATGGTAAAGGGAGGCAGCACTAGGGTGACCAACTATCCTAGTTTGTTTGGGACTCAGTGGGTTCCCATTATGTGGGGCATTCAGTTTTCAAACCAGGAAAGCCCAGGAAGACCGAGATAAGTTGGTCATCCTAAGTGATAAAGAAAAACGGACCAGGCCCAGTGATGCACTGGCAGAAATGAGTGCCAGTCTTCAAGATCTAAAGATGCAAGATATTTCCCATCATATTCCCATTGAATTCATCAGACTGACACCTGAGAAATCCAGACAAATCCTGGAGACTGGTAGTAGACTACTGCAAACTCACCCAAGTAGTAGCTCTGATTTCTACCGTGGTCTTTTAAAAAATAAATAAATAAATAAATAAATTTATTTATTTATTTATTTATTTATTTTTGGTTGTGTTGGGTCTTCATTGCTGAGTGCGGGCTTCCTGTAGTTGCAGTGAGTGGGGGCTACTCTTTGTTGTGGTACGTGGGCTTCTCATTGTAGTGGCTTCTCTCATTGTGGAGCACAGGCTGTAGGTGGGTGGGCTTCAGTAATTGTGGCATGTGGGCTCAGTAGTTGTGGTGCATGGGCTTAGTTGCTCCACAGCATGTGGGATCTTCCTGGACCAGGGATCAAACCCATGTCCCCTACATTGGTAAGCATATTCTTAACCACTGTGCCACCAGGGAAGTCCCTACTGTGGTATTTTTTGCCGAAGCAGATCAACACAACCTTGGGTACAAGGTATGAGAGGTCATTCATCTGTCAATTGCGTTCTTTTCTGGTCTTCTCAAAAAGGATCAGAAACGGCTGCTATTCACTTGCAATGGACAGCAGTGTCCATTTACAGTCTCACCCTGGAACTATGTTAATGCTCCTACTCTCTGATATAGGATAGTCAAAAGAGACCTGGGCTGTTTGGTGGAAAGAGTACTGATTAAGGTGTGTTCAATCTGAATTGTATAGCTGAAGGTCAGATAACTTTTTAATAGAGCTGTGGGAAGACGGATCAGCTGCATCCTGAGGAACAGAAATTTCCTTCACTGAGAGAGTCCTAGCATGAACTAGCTGCCTTTTGTCATGGCCATTACAGAAAGGAGCCATGTTTCTGATGGAGGTAGTTGGAACTGTCCACCATAAGATTCTCTGATTTGGAAATAGAGGGTGAGGAAGAGTGAAGTCGGTAAGGTTGGGATGTAAACTTTGCAAGAACACCTTCAGGTGGTTATTTTGAGTCAGGAGCCAAGAAGTAATCAAGTTCCCATCATCTAATGGCATGTACTTAAACACAGTGGAGATGGTATATTTGTCAGAAAAGAGGCAATCTCTTGGAAGTCTACTTTTAAGAACATTTCATCCTCTTCTGGTTGTCTCTTGTTGAAAGCTCTTTATAACCTAATAGCATTTTGGCTTTATCTCTTATTCCACTTACTGCTGTGGTGACCAGTTCAGTACAGATTTCCAGCAATTTCATGGGTGCAACTCTCAGGATAGTGCTATGCTCCTCACTGTGCATCTTTTCCACTGCTGCAGGACAGGGTTCTTTAGGAATTGCTTGGCTCTCATGCATGTGGATGGGCCAACTCTTGACCAATGGACAGTAGGAGCTGATGGAGCAATGCTTCCCTAGTGGACAACATGGGCATCACACATGATCCCACAGGACCCAGTATCCAGTCTCATGTAACAGGGGCTAACTCAATAATTCATCCTTATGTTGTCTCTTTCTTCTTCTTTCTTTCCTGTTGCTTGCCACTTCTGCCTCTTGAGATCACACCCCCAGAGAAACAACTCGCATGCAAGCCTTTGTCTCAGGCTCTGCTTTGGGGGAAATGCAGCCTATATGCTGTAACATGATAGATAGGTGCTCCCAGCCAGATGTTACCTGGAACTACCTTGTTAGCATAGAGTCTCCACTGTGTGTGTGTGTCCTTCTCTGTCCTCACTTGTTTTCTAAGCTACATAAAACAAGGCAAAGGAGGTCAAGCTTCATTTGGGGCAAGACATACATTTGAGGAATAATAGCAGTGAACATTTTTTGGATTGGTCTTTATCTGCCAAGCACTGTTCTAAGCGGTTTATATACACGACCTAACTTTTACTAAATCCTATGGGGGAGGCACTATTATCATTCCTACTTATACACAGGGAAATGGAGGCTGAGAGAATTTTAGTAACTTTAAGTGGCTTGGCTGGGGAATGGCGAAGCTGATCTGATTCCATTGTCTGATGTCAGAGCAGAGCTTTTAAATACTAGAAATCCCAAGATGCAAATCAATATTAGGCTCTGTGTGGGTGATGAATGGGGTTTGATTACCAACATTTAACGTGCAAGCATTAGCACGGGATTGTACACCAAGCTGATTTTTCTCAGGGAGCCTGGAGAGAGTGGCCAGACTCCAGCAGGAGAAGTGGAAGGTCTCCTTCACCAGGCAGGTGAGGGTCAGCAGAACGGGGCCATTTAACTTCTTATTTGGCTTTATCTGATGGCTGGAAAGGGTGAACTTTGTGATATTTATTTATGGTTATATATAATGCTTATGATTATGTATGATATTTGTAAATAGACGGCTCTGCTTGGTAATTTATGGCTGTATCTTGGGCTTTTCATCATAGAGATGGCCTTAAAAATAATTTTAGTCTGTCATTAGAGGACAAATAGATGGTGTTTGCCATGTCAGGTTTCAAGTAGGAATGGCTGGTGACACCTGGGAAAGAAAAAAAATAGGATTAGGTAATTTACAAAAGTGCTTCATTTTTCAAAACCTTCTCACTTTCCTCACTTTTTCATGTTGTACCAAAATAGAATGTTTGTCTTAATTAGAAGAAACAGGTCATGACTCTGAAGGCAAACAGATCCATTATTCTTCAAGAAATGCTCTAATCCTCCAGCCTGAGGTCAGGCTGTGTGGATAAAGGGTACACTGGGGGAAGGGACTTTTTATTTAAACTGCTGCTGAGCAAATATTTCCTTCTCCCCATCACAATCAGCTTCCAAAGCAACCCATAAATGTCTTTCTGAAGAGTATACACAGAATCCAGACCCCAGGCCCAGCCCTGGAACACCTGCTAGGGCTGAAGTATTTTAGGGTCCTTTGATGACAGCAGTCATTCACACCATATCTGCTCCCCAGAAGGAGGCTCAGCCTAACAAGTGAAGGTGGGGTTTCCTTGCAATTGACTTTTGCAAAACGAAATAGTCATTCATGCATCCCCAAGTTTGTAATATGCATGTAAAATTTTGTCACATAATGTGGAGTTATTTGCATGAACCAACTTTATTAGTTACCTGGGACTCTGGCCCCAGGTGAGAACAAAAAGAGACCACAGTGACAGGAACTATAACTAAGGATTCTGTGTCCTCTGGCAACTTCTGGAGGCTTTCTGAGCATGCACTAAGATCGACAGGTGATTCAAAGGTGAACCAGATACAGATCATGCCTTCCAGAAGCTCACAGACTAATGAAGGAGGGTGCTAACAAATATACCTTAAATGACTAAAGCATGAGATAGAAAGAGTCAAATTTCATCACAGGGAGAGTGCTAGAGGAGCTTAAGAATGAGATTACTTCCAACTGAAAGGATCCAGGAAGACTTTGTAGAATCCTTTGGATTTAACCTTGAAGGGAGGGCTGGATTTGAACGCTCAGGGGTTGGGCTGGGAAGAACTTTCCAGAGGGAGGGTATGGTCTGTGCAAAGGCAGAAGTGTGCAAATGTCAGCATGTGTGTGGGCAGCAGTATGAGAGCAGTGGGGAGTCCAGGGAACTGGGGAAAGGCAGTGGAGGGATTTGCCCAGTGGATGAGGGATTGTCGAGGAGACTTGTAGATAAATTAATCCTTCGTCGATTGAAGCTGCGAATTGTCCAAGGTCACATGGCTAGCAGTTGGCAGTAGGGTGGATTTTGGCCCTGATCTCTTGGTTCTCAGTTCAGTAAGTTTTCTCTTCCTCACTTTGGATTACAAGAAGCTTTTAACTTTGCTTTATTTTTGGCCATCTGTGACAGGTACCTTGAGGAGCCCATTTTGGGAGTTTAAAGGCAACATGGTCCCGAGGGCTTAATCTTGGAAATCTACCAGCTTTGTGAATAGGTTTACTCTTGCTTTCTTTCCACCTTCCCTCACCCATTAGGATACCAGTGGGGCCAGGTCTGAGACAGTCAGGCTTTGGGAACAGGCACGTGGCTGGAGGTATGTGTGTGTGAGAAAGACGTGTGTACGTGCGTCTCTGCTTGATGTCTCTGTTCTGAGGCTAACTATGAATCACCTTTGGAATTTTGTTCTCTCAACTTGACATGGGCAAAAAGCCAGCACAGAGAAGAATTTTACTTTGCCCTAAAGTGTGTTTATTTCTGGGCTTAGCTGGAGCTCAGGAAACGGGGAGTGTTTCATTGACTAGGAAAGCCCTTTCTTGGGTGTTGGCTGGGTGCTGCTTTAGCAGAGAGAGAGAGTCAGAGAATGAAGAACACTCAGACATTGGAAGGGATCTTAGAGGTGACCTGCCAGAAAGCTTTCCACAACAGCACTTGGCTTCCTGACGCAGGTTGGGACGTGCCTTTCAGGGCTAGTCTGTTGGTCAACAAATAGCAATTGAGAGCTGAGTATTTGCCGGACAGGGTTGTGGAGAGGAGAGAGTGAGGTCAAGCTAGTCAAGTGCCTAGCACAGTGGAAGCACTTGGTTCAGAAATGGTAGTTTCCGTGGTATGGAGGGTGCTCTGTAGGCTGAGAAAGC